GCTCGCGGACGTGACTTTTGAGCCCACAGCTGTGCAAGCTCCAAGCATTTCCTCTGTCACTTTTTTACTTATTATTATTATTACCCAGTTTGAGTTAAGAGTAGTAAATAACTTGCTCCCAGGAAAAGAACTGTGAGGAAGCCCCCGAGGCGCAACGGCTTTTTTTTAGGGGACATAACTTCCTCATTTTAACATGTTATAGCGTGGAATAACATAGCGCAGACCGTGCTTCAATATTGGGCATAAATCAAAAATATCTGCATCATACCTGCGACAAGCTCACTGTGACACATTGCTGCGGGAGTATAACCAGCCCTTTAAGCATAACAGCGTGGAAGCGCGGCAAAGCGGCATACGCACATAGGTTTGAAAACTAAAATTTATACCAGAGGCTAAAGAGAACGTTCCACAACAACAGGTTCAGCAAAAGTCAAGCTTTTGTGACATCAGTAAGTAAATTAAACAGTACTATGTGTTAAAGTGATTAACTTATATGTAATGTATAATCACCTAAAATCAGTGTCTTGACCATTCTGATGAGAAAGCAAATAGGTATGTTGTTACCATGTCACACAACTACCAACATCTGCTGACTGGGTGTTAATAACTGTAGGCGTTGGGTTTTTTAATGTAGAAAAAGCACCAAGTAGAAGATGCACATTTGCTTAAAGTGAACTCTCAAACTGAATGTTTCTGTTTCTTCTAAGCCCAAACTGGAGCACATACGCATCTGAAATTAGACACTCATCTTAAATTAGGAACAGCGCTGTGTATCTATTCGCCTAACAGGGGCATTTAATTACAGATCCAGTCTAAATAATTTAACCATTTAATATAGAAAACTATCATGCATGTAACCTATGCATAGCACGCGCTTATGCTGCTCTGCTGCACTTGCGTGCCATAATGCGCCTAATGTATATCCCCCCCTTGAATCATCAGATGGAAACTGTACGCCTCAAACATTACATGCTTAAGTTATAATGTTTTATTGACCTTTTTCAGACACATTGTTAATCTTGACCCAAACAACGGTTGATGCATCCCTACATGTTATCTAAATACATGCTGGCTACAATAAAACCAGTTTAAGGTATTGCTGCTTACCAGTGCTGTTTTTATCAACAATAACATTTTCTGGACAATGCTCTTTATCATGATGATTATCAATACAGTCAAGAGATAAACACTTAGATGACTAAAACATTCGATATTATTCACGATGATTTGTCAGATAAAGAAAATTGTGGATATTTCTCTATATCATGCATCTCATCTGTCAGTGAAAAGCTTAAGGATCGCATTCTGTGCTGTTGTAGCCCCTCTCACTGTATGTTAAAAAAAGGCTTGATGGTTAGACAACACAGAATGACGAGCAGATATACTTTAAATATGATCCATCCAAATGAAAATATAATCTATTGTAGAGACAATAATTGTTCACCTACCTTTGGTTGACAGCGGTCATATTGTACGTGTTTCTGTGTTGGATGGGGTGTGTGTGTGTGTGTGTGTGTGTGTGTGTGTGTGTGTGTGTGTGTGTGTGTGTGTGTTTTGGGCTGCTACCTTCATTCAGGGGCCACCATCGAAAATCAGTACAAGTTGCTCACTAAAGCCGCTTTCCCACTGAAAACTGGGTTCTTCAAAACAGGGTTAACCCGCTAGCAATTAGCTTTTTGCTCTTTTCCCATTGACCGAAAGCCGAGTCTGACCCGCTGCTGGAAAACTGCCTGCCCACTGTCCCCCACCACTGCGTTTCTGATGACGGCATCACGGTAGGTGAGCATTGATGATGTCGACAGTGCGATGGAAATCAGGGAAGTAAATAATGGAGAGCAAAATGGACGGGAGCAAGAGCCCAGTCAGTATTGTTTATTATTTCGCTCTTTTATCTGTTCAAATCCCTCACCAGTGCTGCTCCATTTTTATTCAATGTAAACAAAGTAGTTTCGGCTTGTTAGATCAGAAGCAACTCATACGTTGCTTTCAATGGTGTCAGGTCAACCTGGCTCAGGTATTTTCACTTTCCGAGTCGTTTGACTCGGGTAGACATGTGTCAGTGAGCTGTTTCCACTGCCGCTAAAAGCCCAATGTTCCCAGGTTTAAACTGGTTTTTCAGTCATTGGGAAAGGGTTATAATTCTGCAGACCTCTTACACCAGATTCTCTTCCTAAGATGACCCGGTTTTCTAATCGGGTGTCATACTGCAGCCAGTTAATAAAAGTCTAAATGAATCTCCAAAGTACCAATTAGCTGATTTTATAAATATGTAACAACTTGTTTTTCTTTAAATATCTGTTTGACAAAAACAAAAATACAACAACAATAGCACATTATTAACATTTACACCACTGAAAGAGATCTTTTTTGCTATTCATTGCAGTTTCCTCATCGTAACATTTCTGCAGCAATAATAAAATGTTTCCAGAGGCTGTAGGCTGAATCAGTACATCTGTTCAGCTGATAATGAGTCTCCTGGTACATTTTTACAATAAAATATGAAATCTAGCAAAACATGGCAGCATAGCAGCCAAGCTCATGTAGGCTGCAATGCTGCAGTGCAAAATGTCATAAAGTACATTTAACCTGTTTTCAAATGTCATTCCATGAATCTGTTTTATTACTCTGTGGCTTAAAGGGTTTGATGTCCTCAGACGAAGACACTGAATGTTTGAAATAAAACTGAAGTAAAAAAAAAAAGACTAATTGCATTTTCAACACAAAAAAAAGCATTTTGAAATAAACTGGTTGAAATTAATTTCCAAACCAGTGCATTTCATTCAGTCGAGGCAATTCAAATTCAGTGCCTGATGGCCCAAGTTTCAGCCCATAACCATCCCTAACATCATCTTCCCAGGAAGTCTTACCCTGAATATTCTCCACATAGCAGTAGACGTCATAGAGCTCATCATGCCCTACCAGTCCGTAGTTCCGTACTCCCGGCATGCCATCCATGTCTCCAAAGCAGCCCTCCCTTGGCATCTGAATGGGATATCTGTTGGCAAAGGTCATACATCATTAGAGCAGCAGCTGCATGACGAAACTGCTTGTTTGGGTACTTGTCAACACACTGAAAAGCCCAGAAGTGTTAGAGATCTAACAAGAGCCTCTCAGCTCTCGGTTGATGACTGTTTCCTGATGTAGATGCAAAGAGCGTATCAAATGGAGGATGGGTGAGTGCAGCACTCTGACCCCCATCCACCAGATTATACTGAACACATTCCCTGCTACTCTTCTCCAGATGCCAGTTCAGGGTAGCAGCTCATACAGGAAAGAGTTGAAGGGTTTTCCATACTCATTAAAACACTGCAGGGCTTTTCCACTCGAAGCTCAGGATTTGAAAGCACAGAAGGACCACTCCATCTCAGGTCCTGACCTGACAGATTCGTCTGAGAGCCATCCTGCATCACACTGCTCGTATCCGCTGTGATAGGCGGCGAGGAGCTGCTCAGGGGAGGCGATTTCAGCCCCGATGTCCTCACACGCTGATTTGGCACGCTCAAAGGTAAAGGCGTACCGGCTGGATGCATCACGGTAATGAAACACCACACCTGTCACACAGAGTGAGAGCTTTGTTGGGTTAAGGATGAGCAAAGCATTTTCTGATGGTAATCCCTTATGTGGATGAACAAATAGTTTTTTTTTTTTTTTTTTTTCCACATCTGCTGATAGAAAAATAACACTTGAACTTCCAAAACAGTGTCATTTACTATAATACATTTATACCTTTGTATCGGTTCTACTTTAGGCCACTACTAAACACCAACTGGGAATAATACCAGTCGTCAAAAACCGCTGAATTATAGATTAGTTGAATCGTAATTAGTTTCTGAATCGTATTTAAATCTTCATAATTTCTTGCAATTCATAATATACATATATAT